AGATATTCATCCCAGCTTGATTTCTGTTTCTCAGTGACCATTTTCAACATTTGAAGTCATGTTTTATTGAAATGCTGCAGCTACATTCATTAGTCCAAATTGTTTCCTATTCAATTTATACATTCCCCTGCGCATGATGAGTGCTGTCTCAGCCTTGCTTTTTTTTTTAAATGAAGCCTTGATGGCGGGCTTTACTCTGGTACTGCAGTACAAGCCAGGTATTTCTACCAATGTGGTCCAAAGTTATCTTGCACTCTGGGGATTGGTTTCCAGTCAGGAATGATCTTTGTTTAAATCTCTATATTCACTACACAGCCTCATGCAACTGTTATTTTTTATACACACATAAGTGGGGTAATACACGAGCGCTCCTCCGGTTCTTAGTACAGATATACAGAATGCTGTAGACTGTAGACAGTTGACAGTTAGCTGTAGACAGTTGACAGGTTCACTGTCTTACCAAAAGCAAGAGATGATCAGTTGTGGTCATCCAGGGTAATCAAAGTTATCATCAAATGTGGAGAACATACTGGCTTCCTATCTCAATATCTGTCAAACTGTCCATTTCTGACATGTACTAAGAAGGATGAGATTGACAGGGGAATCCCACAGTTCTTTACTGTTGTAGCCCCCACAGAACATCTCTATCAGCATTATTTAAACAAACTTCAGGTTTATTCTCTTATATTGAGCATAATGAGAGGAAGGACTGCTTTTACTGATTGCACGGAACAAAGCATTTTGTTTTGTTTGCCAGGTTCCTGCATGTTTTAAAGGCATGTTTGACTAATACCAGATCAGGAATTGGAAAGTACAAATGGTTTGACTTATCAACTTAATTAGTCCTTAGGTTCTGAGGATAACAACCAGAAGGAAGAGAGGCACTCAGAGGACCACACGTACCTACTCTTGCTCTAAATGGACTAATGTCTAAAAAGTCAATAATAGAAAAAAGTAAATATACATACAGTATATATTTAAACTCCATTTATTATGAAGGACTACTAAAATGGACAGCTCTCTTTTAAAGCATGAAATAGTAACAATAACGTTTCATAAGACTGCCTGTAAACAGATTTCTGCTGTTGCAAAAAACCTGAGAAAGTCAAGACTAATTCTTCCATATTATTGTTTTGCTCATACTATAGCAGAAAGTGCATATTTTCGTGTATGTTTTGAAGCCATGTTATGATTTAAATAGAATTACTTTTTTCCTAATGATATAACGCTAATTAAATTAGGAACACCTTTCACTGATATGAATATTCTCTTCTATAAGGCTACCAACTGAAGTCAAGACAGATATAGTCCTAGACCAGCTGGAGTAAGCAGTTTTAACTAGAAATTCTTAGAGCTTGCTCTTCATCAGTCATGTTGGAATCCTAAATGGGGGAACTTATATTTCTGTTCAAACTGTATGATGACAGCTGATTGTAGATGGAGAACAAAGATTTTGCAGAATTATTTTGGGATCTACGGAATGTCAGAATACTGATAATCCCTACACCCCTACTCAAATTGCTGATGATGACAAAGAAAAATGCATTGTATTCATCTATACCCTTGAAATAGGTTTCATCAATATAATGTCAAACATTTTTAAATATATCCCACAATGTGGAATAATGACAAGCAGAAAAACAGACAAAATGGTGGACTTGTGCCAATTGCTACCACATGCATCATGAAAAGAAAACATTGAAAATATTATCTCTAAACATCTTACTCTTTTAGAAAGTGCAGGAAGACAAAACCACTATGAGAATTTCTTAGCAATCAATGCCTGTACTCTTGAAAACTGAATAACCAAGGAAACCTGTGTTACATTTTGAGTGAGTGATGATGCACAAGTAATGAATGAAGTGAAATTAAGTGAAAGAAACTGAAGTAACACCATTGCTTAGAAAAACTGGATCAAAAGTTTTTTTTTTGTCCAAGGGATACTATTAACCAAAGATTCATTCTAGTTGCTGCTGAAATGACAATCGAAAGACTTTTGAACTAGATTCCAGGAATCCTTGTCATTGATAATGTCAAGTGGAAGGCACAGCTTCAAATGATTAACCCACATTGTGAATCTTCAACACTGACAAAGTGCTTTAAATCACAAAGAATTTCTAGCTCTTTGCATACAGTAGTAAGACATTTTCAGTGTACTGTTGCATTGTTTGTAGCTGAAAAGTATGATAGCATGAAGCATGAACACAAACTACATGTCAAATTAAATTGGAAGTAAGACTATATGCACACAGCCTGGGCTGCACTGTATAATACCTGGTATACCTTTATCAGGAAATGATTAATAAAAAGAAAATAAATGCGGCTGAAAATGAAACACATTTAAGTCTTTTCTCCTAATTTATTACAAACAGAATGAAGCAGCCATTAATCTTACTATATCCAAAAGAACCAAAGAGAAGAGCAAGAAAAGGTCATGTTTCTGTGACCAGTGCTCTTTGGTAGTGTAAAACTTAGTAATACTTAATAAAACTCTTCAGCTCAAGCAATCATGCTTTCTCTGGTTGCTGAAAAATGCTGATACCATGTGCACCATATCAAAACAGTACTACTGCACTTGCTGAATGCCAAGGACCAAAACACTACAACCATTAATTTGTGGTGTCTCTCACAACAAGCATGTTTACACAGAGTGTAGTCATCGGCAAGTGCTATATTTAACTATTTTTTTTTAGCTTTTGCCATATCTTTCCTAATGACAAGATAAATGTTTAATTGTAAGAAAGAGTCTGAGGTCAACAGAAATATAAAGTGACAAAATGTTTCAGTAAATAATTTTTCTGAAAAAAGATTTTCAGAAACGGAATGAAATGTTAAAAGCAAAAAAAGCTTATATTTTGCTGCAAAGTATGCTTTTAGTGAAGGAAATTTAACAAGCAACATTTTTAACAAGTGACTTATCCTTTTGAGGCATATTGAGGTCTTTATTCTGCCTTGAACTTTCATTTGTACCTTTTTTAAGACGTTTATTTACAACATCCCATTAGAAACCTCTTGTGTCTCCTTTCACAAACATGCCTTATTTTGCATTTCACACAAACTTTACCATTGTGAGCTGCCAATGATAGTTGCAGGGAGTAGAATACACAAGCGAAATACACAAACAAGCAAAGGCTTTTATCTGTAATATTGTAGGAGGCAATTATAACGCTAATCCTAATGTGACTGTTAGTATATTCCACAGGATCACAAAAAACAGAGGCCATTTACAATTCATATGTTAACAGTGGAAGAATGGTCTCCTTATGGGCAATAAAAACAATTCACTGTAGCCAATATCCTTGGGCTGTTACTAGGTCAGGCCTGATACAGTTAAGTCCCCTAATAAGAAGAGCATTAGAAACTCACTAAAAGAATCTGAAAATCAGGCTGTGTGTGTCCTATGAAGAAAACAAAATAAAAAACAACAGCAATGCAAAATAAAGGTTCTTTATCACTAATTTTCTTTATCACTAATCTACCAAGGGTCTTTACATTATTACTTTACGATGTTAATCAGCTTTTTCAACTAATCCCACTGCAATGAGACTGAAGGCATTTAGCACTTCCAAAAAATTGTTACCAAGAAAACATTTACATTATCAATCAGTAGAGTAAATTATCGTAGGGTACTTATCATTTATTCACTAAAGAAGGAGAAAAATTGAAAAAAGTATCACTTCTACCTTTCTCTTTCTTTTCTTGAGAGCAAATTTATCCAGTAAAGTTTGTCATCTTCAGTTTTGTTTTCTGGCTGTGTTTTAACATGGACATAGAAAATATGTCTTCAAACCTTATGGATCCCCTTACAATAAATAAAGGGAAATGAACTTTAAGCACACTGTAAAAGAAATTAGTAGTGTAATGAAAGAGAAGCGTGACTTAGGTCTTTTTGTACACAGTAGTAATAGTAGTCTATTTTCTTTTAATTAAGTGATAATTCAAGCAACAAAAGAGAAGAAAAAGAAATCACCATAATGAGACTTTTCATGTCCAGGAAAGATCTGCAGCTTTATTTTAGGAATCTACAAATTGGGAAGCATTTATCCATATAACCAAGGCTGAAAATCTCTCTAGGTTATTTCAGATGGTATGGAACCTATTCCAGTTTCCCTCTCTTTTCCCCCCTGCTAATGGTGCTGTAGGATTGGGTTTCATTTCCTTTAAAGCCTCTGACCTTGTAGCGCTTAACCACCACAATCTTTTTTTTTTTCTTTGACTCAGCTTGCCTTTGTGTCTGCTTGTCATTCACCGGCGAATGCAATGAATGCTGATTCTCGGGATGCAGAAGCGGCGCTATCTTTCACATTACTCTTCCTCAGGGGGTTATATCCTTCAGACAAGACAGAGTGTAATACTGCCCCACACAACTATATACTTTTACTTCAAATTCAGCCCCAGGTCTTTTGCCTCTCTCCTGACTTGTTACCCAGTGACTAAAAGGGCATGCCGTGTCAGAGAACTTTGAATCAAAAAGGTCTACAAAGAATTATGAGAGACTGAAAGAACACAGTAATATGAGAAAAAATACGCACATCCTTTATGAGTTAGGGCGAATCCAAAAGAAAATATTTTCCCTAGAGAATGTGCCCTTTAAACAGTTTTTAATGGCATAGAACTGACAGCTAAAAAAATAAAGAAATGTATATACAAATGCATATGCAACCAGAAGCTAGTGTACTTCATCACCATCTCCAGCATTTGGTATTAATTACTTCAGAAAAGTGCTGAACAACAAACTCCATACTCTAAAACAGAGTAAAGAATAGTCTGAGGACCCAGGAGATAGACAAATAAGCTTGATGTATTTTCTTTATAAACTACAAAAAAGAAAGAAAAATGTCAGCCATGTTGGAAAGCTTTATCTAATATCCCTCCTTATTATGGTAGCTTTAGGTTTACAGGGGACATTTGCATGCCGAGGCCTGGCTTTACAGAAAACTAAAAGAAAGATGAAGAGGAGAGAAAGAAAGTCTTTAAAAAAATAAAGAACAGATTCTGACCTCTTTTTGCGTCCCTCCACTTTGAGAATTCCAGCAAACAGTCTGGGTCTCCTCTTTAACAAATCCTAAAGGGCAGCCATCTTGCTTCCTTCTGTTCGTCTATGAAAGCAGACTATCCTCCACATCAATATTCATGTCTGACGTCTGTTCTCATCACCAGAAGAAGAAGCCTGGTGTCGCTGTTGGCCTCTTTGAGCTGCATATGCAAGTCACAGATACAGCAGCATGCAGAGTGGTGAGCCGTGTGTGTCAGAGAGCCTGCTTTGCTGGCAGGCCCCCTGTAATCGCAAATCACTTTCCTACTGAGGCCTTCCCAAACAAAAGACAAGTTTTTTTTTTTCTTTGGCACACAACAGTGAGTGCTAGTGTGGCTGCCCCGAAGCACAGGAATGGATTACACAAAACATGGCCCAGCTCCTCATTCAGGTGCACACTGCTGCTCTTGGCTGTTTGTAAAAGCAAAGTGCCTTATCTGCCTGCACAGGAGCCCACCCCCATTCAGACAGGAAATACATGTCTACAGAAAAGGATCAGCAACCTTCTGCTTTTCTTTTGATATTTTCTGTTGTTTTTTTTAATTACTGAGGAGAAATTTTGTGAGAAGCCTCTTATGTTTGGCGTACCACTGTCCAGACTATGCTTAACTCTAACCACACACCTGCCCTCCCTTCATAACAAAGTTAGCTCTTATTTAGGCACTCATTGGTTGACAGATTACTTTTAGTACCGGAGTAAAACTACACTCTAGCCTTTGAAACTCTCTGCAAGAGCCCGCATATTTCTCTGTCTCTGTGAGCCAAGGCCCACCTCCTGTTTACACAAGCCACGTGTGCCAGAGGTATTTAAATCTCACATTCAACTGATCGCCGGGTATTTCTGTTGCCGACGAGTCTTAACAGTTTTAACTGAAAAATGCTGCACAACCACACCATTGTTACAGAAGGCAAGAGGTTGGGAAGTAGTTTTTTTTCTGTTTTGTCAGCTTCACCTTTTTAAAAATAACAATAAAAAGTCCAATCCCATCTGCCATGTAAAGAATGAACTGTGATAAAATAAAACAAGTGCCCAAATAGTTATTTCACTGAGTGAATATTTTAATCCACACAGAAATGAACATGTTATTTTAATTTCATTGTGTGTGAGATTTTTATATCCTTGCTTAAAATAACACCTTTCTGTGAGTGGAACAAGCTCCCCAAGCTAACATCTTAATGGGTATCCTGATCAACATAGTGCTAAAGCATTTCTCATATCTATACCTCGAAGCCTCAGTGAGTGTAGAGTTAAGGTCCTGGGCTCAATTCCTGGGGTGCTATCTGCATGGGATTTGTGTTCTCATTGTGTTCATGGGGTGCTTCAGTTTCCTCTCACAGTCCAAAGACATACAGGCAAGTTCACTGGCTTCTGGGAAAGTTAGGCCTGCTGTGAGTGTGTGTGTTTGTGCCCTGATGGTGTCCTTTTCAGGGTGTATTCTGCTTGTGTCTGCTGCTTGTCAGTATAGGCTCCGGCTCCCCCATGGCCTTGTATTGGATATAAAGGTTAAAAAATGGATGGACAGAATATCCAGGTAGACGTTAACCAAGACACTTGATCACTTTCCTAATAAATGTAGAAGATGTCTAATTCCAAAACCCTAGTAACGAGAGACACCCTGACCCTTTAGCATGGTTGTTAGTTTGATTCTGGACTGGGGCTTCACCCATGAAGAGTTTGTGTCTTCTCCCCTTGTTTGCTTTGGGTTTTCTAGTCTCCTTCTGACTTCCAAAGACATGCTAGTTAAGTTGAATTGGTCTTTCTAAATTAACTGTGTGCTTGTATATCTGTAGACTGGAATGACCAGTCCAGGATATAGTTCTTATTGGAGCTCTATACTTCAAGGATAGATGCAAGGATTCTATGACCTTCACCAAGAATAAGAAGCTCTCTGATAACGGAATGGCAGTCACAAAAATATATAAGGGAATTCGTTTTTAAGAAAGAGTTACTTAATAAATGGCTTACATAAATACATACACTAAAACCCTAAATACAACATTAAAATAACATTAAGAAAACTTGAAAACACATGTGTTACTTCATGACTCTACATAGATAAGGAACTAAGATGTAGGTGGGAAGGAAGTGAATCAGTAGATTCTAAGAAAAAAAAGATGAAAGAAGCCCATACCCCACTTAAAACACATGCATTTTTTTTAAGTTAACCTCAAAGAGAAAGAGATAGACACAGATAGGCAAGAGAGGGGTAGGGTGGAGAATTAAGAGAACCAGGGCAAGAAAGCTTTTTAACACAGATGGGGGTCATGCATAGAAACTTGGTTTCCCCTCATTTCTAACAAGGCATTTTGATCTCTGCCAGATTCTGAAGGTCTGAAACTCGTCATCCCGTTTCTGCTAGTTTAGAACTCTCTTTTCTGCCTAGGGCTGTTATAACAGGTGGTTCTTGTCTGAAAATAATCTGCCTCTGGCATCAACCCATTTTGTTTTACTGAGACCCCTCCCTGTTCCCATCATCCCCTGCTCAACAGTGGTGACATTTGTTGACTCACTAGTTTCAGGCTTGAATCAGAAAAGGGGATTTGTTTTTACACAGTGTGGAGGAGGGGAGGAGAGGCAACCACTTCACAGAGAGAGCTGATCTTGCTTTCAGTCTCTTGCATGCTAGAAAGTCAGCTTCTAACCACATTCTTTAGTGACTTTTATTCAAAGGTGTGTCTGCAAAATATCATGCTTTTGGGTTTTTTAAAAGAAAAAATATAATCCAGTTCTCAGAAAGGGTCTCCCCTCATTTCTACTAAAACAACAGATGTATAGATAGTTAAGGCACTTAAAAGCAACTTTAAATCACAAAAGCAGTTGAGGAATGTGATGCAGTATAAAATTGTGTTGGTAGATTTAACAGCATCATCAACAACCATAAATGCACTTAAACTCTGCAATGAGCCTGCTACAGTATACCTGTACTACTGACACTGTGCTACTGATTAGCTGTTTTTCATGCTGAATTAAATGGTGCAAGTTTGGAAATATTGGAAGAATTGATCCAGTTTTCAGGTTCCTTGTCACACACCTGTTAGTGTGGATTACTGTATGTATTAATAACGTTACTAGCATTATTTCAATCTCAAGTATCAGTGTACGAACTCCTTGGTAGGTATTTGTCTGTCATGTTAGTTTTAATATTATTTTTTATGTTGATCACAGAAATCAGAGGCGGTGGCTCTGTGGCTAAGGATCTGTGCCTGTGACTGGAAGGTTGCCGGTTCAAATCCTGTGGCTGGCAGAGGAATCCTACTCCGTTGGGCCCCTGAGCAAGGCCCTTAACCCTAACTGCTACAGGGGTGCTGTACAATGGCAGACCCTGCGCTCTGACCCCAAGCTTCTCTCCCTGTCTCTGTGTCTGTGTCTCCATGGAGAAAAAGCTGGGGTATTCGAAAAGACGCATTCCTAATGCAAGAAATTGTATAGGGCTAATAAAGAAACATTATCATTAATTAAGAAAAGCAAATATTTAATTAAAGACATGTTTGCATCTTACATGCTGCATTGTGAATTGTTCTTTTAAGATCATATATGAATTCAAAAGAATTAATTGTATAGGTTTGCTTTTTAACCAAAAAACAGGATATAACATACAGGACTTACTAAATAAAATATTTTCTCCTGCGAGAAAAAACGAACATCTCAAAATTAAATTTATATAGAGAATAATTACAAAAGAATACACTGTAGCTTAATATGAACCAGGCTACAAGTAGCAATAATAACTACTGTATAACAAAATAATTGTGGCAATATGCAACCCCAAACGAAACGACATTTAGTATTATTATTATTATTATTATTATTATAATTATTATTATTTTGCATTAGAAACCTGCCATATCTCTTGATAATCTATTGAAATATCAATATTAATGAATCTGAATAGGTGGGAATAAATATTACATTTTTAAATGGCAAATATCATGTTTTTGCTAACAAAGTTTGCCATTGTTTTTGATGAAGCACAGAGAAAGCCACAGTGTGTTTGTCTTGTGCTTTCCAGTGCTGTCTTTGAAATAATGTATTTTGGATTCATAAATGATATGATTTTGTGAGTATGACCTTCTCTGAGTAACCTAGAATGCATAGTCATAAACAGGAATTTTGTATAAGGTAAAAACCTGCAGTAGAAGGTCAAAGTCTGTACTGGAGTTAGTCATCAACATTTTATGACTGAAAATAAGGCGAAAAACACAATTGTGTACATTAAATAATGTAAGAACATTCTGTTTTGACACACTGCCATTACGATGAAAGCTGCAAATGAGTGTTAAGGCAAAGTAACAAGGATGAGCAGGCACTGGAGGAAAAGAAAATGAAATTACTTACACTATTTTTAGAAAAACACATTGAGACAGTAATGCAAGCTGTAAATGAATTCTGACCTTATCTTTCAAAATTATCAAAAAAAAAATTATAAGGATTGGCGTCAGAACTCTGACTCTGTTTTTATTTTATTTTATTTATTTCAATGGCTGTTTCTGCTGAGGGAGGGCTGTTTTCCATGGTTACGAGCTACCAGAAGCAACTGGGAATGATGATGTTGCAGAGTTGAAAGTTAGGTTGTGTACTAATCCTTGGACATCAACATTGCACAATATTATGAAAGCTTTTGATGTAGTTGGTACACAACTCAACTAATCTATATTTCCTAATCTCACACATTCTTTAGTGGGAAGCCTTTGTTGGAACAGAGAGCCAATAAGGCAAATGACTATGCAAATCAGAAACAAACATGCAGGACACAGAATAGAAATAGTAGGACACGGTATAACTTAAAAAAATGGCAGAAAATAAACAGATACCTGTACATGTAAGTAGACTGCTGCTTTAATTCAATTCAATTCAATTTAATTCAGTAGACTGCACATTTTAATTACAAACATGACCCTGTCATGCATATGTGACAACCCTTATTTTGTTTTGCATTAGTCCCCTGTCTTCAATTTTCTTGTTTTTTTCCCATTGTTTGTGCCATAAGGGCAAAGTTTCTCCATACAGACAATCTGGGTTTGCTCAGTTGTTATTGGAGGATAGGAAACTGAACAAGCTTGGAAATGAGAGCCTGAGGCATCAACTGCATAAGAAGATAAGATGATCAGATGGCCACGAGTTTTGCAAAACAAAACTTCACAAAATGCAGTGTGTCCTTCCTTTCCTGTTTATCATTATCCAGAACATCTTTTATCTTGTAAAGCAGTCAGCTGAATTATCTAAATTGAGCAACTTTGGACATCTTTCTGTGGC